AAAAACGAAGGTATCACTTAATTGCTTGTACCATGATCGAATTGGAATTTAGGAGTTGATTTTTGGGGAGGAAGAAAAACCGGAGAACCCGGAGAAAAACCCTAGGAAAAAAAATGTCCCGAAAGACTAAAGCGTTTTTACTCGGCGTTTAAGTTTTTTTCTTATTCACTTGTCGACTTGGCTAGACCGACAGTTTACTCATCTTGTGAAAGCAACGGTTTGTACTAAGGTCCTGGCTAAACGAGGCCCTAAATGTTTCCTAAGGTGGCAAAACTGTCAGGAAACATCGCGAAACAATGTTTTCATGCGTCTTGGAAACATGAAATGTTTCTGCCCTACAGCAAAAACATTTTTTGCGTCTTGGAAGCAAAATTTGTTGCACGCAGCAATGTTTCGTATGTGGCTAAACTGGAAACATCGAGGAAACATGCGCGCGGTAAACATGTTTCTGGAACTGACATGTTTCATCGTTTAGCCAGGGCCTAAACATCAAACTCTGGCGCAGGTGCCGCACGCCAATTGACTGTCTATACTTTAGCAAAATCTAATTAGAAAAAATTCCGCTATGATTTAATCAAGTTTTTGTTTCTACAGAATTTAAAATGAACGAAGAAAAACGGTTGACATGAGTTCGCTTTTTCAATATTGAAATTTGAATTTACTATCATGAGAAGTTTTCGAAAGAAAGATGGCGGAAACCAAGAACAAACAAACAAACAAACAACAACAACAACAACAACAAAACCACTAAACAACAACAACAAAATCAAGCTTTTTGATTTCTTCCAATAAACCGTTTCCAGAAACTACCGTTTTTATCGAATTTCAGTTTGACAAGCCTAATAAAGATTGCTTTTGAATTCGATAATTCCTTTTAGAAACAAGAAAAGTATTGAACAAATCCCGTACAAAATTAAATTAATCCCATGCAATTGAAAATTCCCCATATTGATAATTGCGCAATATAAAATCCTACAACTCGAGTCGTCACGTGTAAAGCAAGCCTACAACTCGCCTACGACAGACGCGAGAGTGTTGTATAAGATAGTTGTAGGCGAAAATCGTACCGTCTAAACCGGCCTTAAACAATATATGCTCTGTCTAAATTCTATCTGATTCAGGAAGTCTTTAGATAAATGTCACTGAACCCAACTCAAAATGTCAACTTGAGTTGACATTCAATTTTTCGCTTTTCCCTTCCAATATCAAAGTTATTTATCTTGCTTGTATAAATAGCAAAGTGGGCTCGCGAGTTTACTATTCCTAGGGGTGATTATGCGTACTTATGTAATTGGTTACTGTGTCAATGCGAATTGCGAACTTGAAGTGTTTACGTCGTCGACTTTCGGAAACGATTTGGTGAAAGATATGTGGTCCACTTGATTACTCGACGTACATTTTATATATAATATTGGTACGATTTTACTTTTACTTTATTATAGCTTCCTTCCTTCCTTCCTTTCCTTCCTTTCCTTCCTTTCCTTCTGTCCAGTTCTGTTCTCTTCTCAATTTTTCGAGTTGTTACACCAGGGAAAAGTTTTAAGAACTATGAAAACATAAGAGAAAACTACTCACAAGAATTGGCTTTTTTCGTCGAAGAATGGCGCCAAATAAGTTACCATCCAAATTTTCCCGCCAAAACAGTCAAAGTACGGACGCGTCCATATGCCATCTGAATATCTCACAATAGAAATTGTGTAGGATCTCTCCTTCTCGTGTGTCGTGGCGTTTAATCGAACAGCGTAGATCTCTGTTTGATTCGCAGGAAATAAGTTGATAGCTTTAGCTTTAGTGTCTCTCCACCAAATTGCATTATCATCTGTAGTGTAGTCATAGCCGCCATCTTGAGATGCTATATCGAATACTTTAATAGTGTTGTTTCTGTTGGGTGGCTTGAAGGCGTAGGGGCAAAACAGATAATAGTCTTTGTACTTGTTTCTATCAAAGCAAATGACAGAGCCAAATGATGGAGGTGAAAACATAACTATTGAGCGCACACTATGATACAAGAACGCGTCGTCTTCCACTATAGAACGATTGCTCTGGCTTCTAGACATCCATAGTGAAGTCATTAGATTCGCGACTTCGAGAACGAGAAATGCTTCCTTCGTCCATCGCTGCTGATCAAGAAGGACATCCAGATAGACGACTTTGTCGCATTTAGTTTGGTTCTGGACGGCTTGAACAAAGCGTAACGCCTTCTGAAGATGGTTATCGACTGTGGCGTTAACAGTGACAGCTTCGAGTTTAACCAACAGAGAGACAGTTCCAATCATGAACAATGCCAAAACAGACCTTATCATTTTGATCATGATTACATCGACCACCTTTCTCGGAAAGCCTTTCTAGCTAAATAACTCCAAGTTTTCTTGATGACTACATTCTACACCTGTCCGTTAATTAATGACGAACTTGAATGTACACTTTGACTATATCTTTCCTCTCCGATTGGTTCATTGTAAGTGGTCGTATTACTTTATATAGCACTTGAAGCTCAACATAAGAGTTCCCATGAAAAACAGCAGGTATATCAAAGGAAAAAAAGATGCAATAATCATTTAAAAAGGAAGTTGAAAATTGTGATTATTGTCTTTTTCTTTTCAAAGAGAAATTTTAGCAAAACTTTGTTTTTATTTTGCAGGAAACCAATAAAATGTTGTCCAAATTTGAGAACAAATTACAGAAAAGTAAACACAGACTAAAAAAAATTCTGAACCGAAAACTTTTTTTGTGAAACCTTTTAAAAAAGTGTTGCAGGAAATAAATTTTTTGGATAAGTAAAAGAATAAATTGAAAGCTAGTTGATCTCGAGTTTGATTTTGCAATGATTAGTAGTCTGAAAACGGGCTTTGAAAAGGTGTAAAAAATAAACGAATAAAGTTTGAAGACAAATAAATGTTTTTCAAATCATAACATAGGAACACGAAATTTGATTACGGAAATTTTTAACTTTTGGACATATTTTCACGTTGTTTTTAAATTTAATTTCACAAAATTCGTAAATAAGTATTTTGCTTCTCCTATAGTACAAACGTACTCGAATGTATTGCATCGTTTGTCGTTACGGTTTTTCACGTTTCTCACAGTATAAAGTTTCGTTGGTATTAATAAAATGTTTAGTTTTCAAAATAAGCCGGATTCTAAAGAAAACTGTACAACTTTTACCAAGGAAAAAATCATAGTTTGTTACTGCTAACCGGTAAATTGATTCTTATCTTTAGTGACTAACTCGTCTTCACTATCCTCCCGCAGGACAGACAGACCAACATTAAAGCCATGAAAYCATTGTTCAGCACCTCGAATGAAATAACTTCTCAATCTCGTTTTCCCACCGACATTTTTGACGTATATAAATTACAGGGTTATTAAATTTGATCCCAGCTGTTTCAAAAAAGCTTGTCTTGTGAATACTGAATGGTTTAATGCAGCTAGAGTCATCGCGGTAAATTTTAACGAGTCTTATAGAGAAGCCAAGACCAGGCTAAACCAACATGTTTTACTTATTGTAGTCAATACCACTCTTTTATATAATACAGATTTTTTTTACAATTGCTTACACTTACAATTCCGTCAGTTTTCAGCGTTTAGTGGATATGCAAAAAAAAAACAAAAAAACACACACACACTTTGAAAAAGCCTGGTGAGATAAATTATTCACCATATCATTCCTCATATCAACAGTTCAATGGCTTTCTCTTTTCATGAATTCACGAAAAGCCACCCTTAATTTATTACAGTATATATATTTATGGCCAGCAGGTGTTAAAAAATTAATTACGTGCTAAGACGAAAAATAGTTTTCCTTATTTCTATACTTCTGCATAATGTTAGAATTTTAAAGCCCCGTTTACACTAGCGATTATTGCGGCGATTTTTGTGGCAATTTTCGGAAATATGAAATCTTTTGTCTCATCCTTCAAAAGAGACATTCGTCTAGGAAAATCTTGGTATCCTGAAAAAAACTTTACAAGTAAATTCTTTACCATTATTTATTATGGACAAAATCGCAAAAAAAAAATCGCAGCAAAAATCGCTAGTGTAAACTGTCTGTCCGTCTGTCTTTCTTACTGTGTGTTTATCAAGGTTTTGTTTATTTATCAAGGTTTTCTAACAATTGTTTTAGTATTTTTAATACAAGTGAATTTAATAAATAACGGACAGAGTTTTTTTTGGTTCAAATTCTATTCTTCTCAGCAAGCGGCACAAATCGACAAACAAGTGTGCGCTGCGCGCGTTATATGCAGCCTGTATGAAAATATTTGTTMAAAAAAAATCCAAATTTTGTTCTAACAAATCTTCATTACATAGTGCGCGCTACTCAATCACGTCATCGTGTACCACCCATTCCTAGATGACTCTCGCGCACGCTAATTAACCAATCAAAGCACGGGTTATATCGTGGCTATGTTATACAACAGCAATATAGTATATATTCACTTGTGTAAAAAATACTAAAAAGCATGATGGGAGAGCTTGGGAACCAAATACACCATATGACGAAGGAAAACAATTGTTACCCAAGCAAGACCAGAATGCACTTTGTTTGTTGAACTCAGTAAAGATATTGAAAATACCAACCAACCGACCATATAAAAAAACTCACTAAAAAACGTACATTTTTCTTAAAAACTAAGACTTTATTGTTTTAATTGAAAGCTTTTCTAAAAATAAACTCTTCTACTAAACTTATCTACAATTGTCGTCAAATATTGATGTCTTACGTAGAAACTTTATGGCAAGATACAGGCACCACGAACGTGCTTTTGATCATTTTTTTATCATTAAATATCAAGATAGTTTAGTAATTCACCTTTTTAAAGTTAGGAGAAAGTTTAACATGGAGGTTATTTTGACCACGTACATAGTTAGCTGTATGGATTTCCATTAATAATAATATAGAATGAAAACAAAGCATTCTAACGTCAACCAATCAGGAGTTAGCGTTACATCCGGGATTGACGTTAACTGGCCAATCATGGTGTAGAATGAAAACAAAGCATTCTAACGTCAACTAACCCGAAGTATGCGTTACATCCGGGATCGACGTAAACTGGCCAATCATGATGTAGAATGAAAACAACGCATTCTAACGTTAACCAATCAGAAGTAAGCGTTACATCCCGGATTGACGTTAACTGTCCAATCATGATGTAGAATGAATACAAAGCATTCTAAATTGAACCAATCAGAAGGCAACGAAACTAATAGTCTGTGAGAATGAAACATTGTTACTTATTCTTATCTCTCCTCGCTGGCTTGGCCTTAATGTTTTACCATTTCAGACGTCTTATTCTCTTGAGGATAAGATTGTTCTTTTTAACTTGTATCCATATTTAAGCGTTAAACAAACAAATGTTACTCAACAGAATGACACGTAATCTGAAATAGGAAAAAAAATTACGGCCAAGACAAAAACATTTACTCGGTGCAAGTTAGTTTTTAGTTAACAAAAGTGGCCTTTATAAGACTTGTTAGCTTGGCACCAAGCTATCTATATCTACCAACAAAACATACAATCTTGATATTTAGTAATCTTACAAAGTATTTGCATATATTACTCTTAAAGCTACGAATGTAGAGCGCAATGTTGTAGGCAATCGATGTTGCGAGTCAGGTCACGAGACACACTTCAGCAGACACTAGAGAAAAACGTTTGCGCATGCGTGTCTTTCAGCACGTTTTCTAAGAATTCAAAGAGTTTGAGTGAGAAAATAAATGTTTGTTTTCTCCAAGTATACAAAAAAGTTCGAGAGTATACTTTTGTCAGATCAAGATACTGTATCAACAAACACAATATGAAAGAATTAGCCTTAAGTTTTAAGCATGCGCAGACATTTTTCACCCGTGTCACCTCATGAACACCATATGATATTTTAATGTAAGTATATGTCGTTCTATATAATAGCGCGCTCTGGATCGAATGGATTGTTTTATAGAGCTTCACAGTTACTCAAGGTTTACGATTATAAATACGAACGAAATTAACATTAACAATAGCAACTACAAATTGCTTCGGCATTAAACTAATTTCACAAATGTAAAGCGCTTCATTTAAAAATATGAACTAGTTTCGAAGTGGTATTGCTYAACACCCTACCCTACCCCTTTAAAAACAATATTCCTGTATAATATGAAATAGACTAGTCGAAATCATTAAATTATTTTATGATTCTAAAAATAGGATTTAGTACATAATATTAGAGGACATACCATATAGACCATATGAAAAACGAGTGTAAGACAGGGAACGAGTAACACGAACAATTATGATTTCAAAAATATATGTCTGAATTAGTAATTAGTAATCCCTGAAGAGTTTTAAGCACTTGAAATGTACCAAAACATGATAGCAAGGCTGGTAGGCCATGGGTTGTTTCCAAACAAACCTTTCTAATTCAAACAGCTGTAGCCTTTTATATTTAATGTTACTACACTGAAATTTGGGAAATCACTAATTTTGATATACTCTTTCTAGTGAAAGCATTGTTGTCCTCTATGWCTGGTGAACTAAGGTATCTCAAGGGACACGCCCTTTTCATATGGTCTATATCTGTGAAAAAAAATCGTACAAATTAGTGCAAAGTTTTGTAGTTCTACGGTCTACTGAGGTCTAATGAGCTTACTAATTTGTGCAGCGAAATTTGACCAATGTCTTACGAAGTCAGTTTTCACGGMTATACGGTATGCACTCTAATACAACTTACCTTAATCGTTGTACAAAATATTCGTCGCTTTGTCAAAAGATTTAGCAAGATCATTTTCGTGTTCGTACATTACCGCTGTGTTCCTTGATTACAGACTCATTTACACAGGGTTAGGCTCGAATCAGTGTCTCAATATTCACAAATACCAACGGTAAAGTAAAGAATGCACAACTTCAACAATACAAACACTTTGAAATTCCACGGACCTTCACTGGAACACATGAATGTTCTACACAAAATTATGTCTAACCATGAGCAACAGCGAACTCGAAACTAGAATATATATAATATTTCTTAAAGATTTTCGATTTAAAACTAGTAATCATAAGAAGAACATTTTGGCCAATTTTAATTGGAAATCTTCGATTTCTGAACTTAAGTTTACGATTTTCATTTTTGAAGTATAAAAATTGATATAATCTTCGCTATAATGTTTTAGGTCCTTAAAGACTTTGAATCAAGATAATTTTTTCTATAGAAATTTTAAAATCTCGTTCCCATTTCCCTTCCCCTTAGTCTCCGACCATCAATTGGCCGCTATAGACCTGGTACCTGGCTCATCTAAACGTGGGAGCTTAGAAATCTTGAGACGGGCGATGGAGACACTTTACACAGATCGACAGGTTCCCCATCGTCATCTTTTGTGTTGGATCTGTCTCGCTTCCATGTTGTGGTCCCGGATGCTTTGATGTGTTTATTTCGGTCCCTCATCATTCGTCCTTGTAAATAAGCTACTTTGGACGACAGTCGTTTAACTTCAGCCTAAATATTGAACCCAGGAATGTAAAGCTTTGTAGAGGTGTTTGGGGATTCTTGGATTTCATGTAACGTCATAAAGGACATGTTTGTGTACAGTTGACGAAATATTTCTCGTTTTCGAGCCAGCATTTGACCAAACATTTGAGCAAACATTTGAGCCAACATTTGTTCCAACATTTGAGCCAGCATTTGAGCCAGCATTTGAGCCAGCATTTGAGCCAGCATTTGAGCCAGCATTTGAGCCAGCATTTGAGCCAGCATTTGAGCCA